TATATATATATATATATATATATATATATATATATATATATATATATATATATATATATATCTTGATTTACCTGACTCACAAAGTGACGGTAAAAACATGATTTACCATGAAAAACAATTATTGTTGCATATGTATAGACTTATCTAGGGGAAGGATATTTTCTTATCAAATATGTAGACTTATTTTTTTTGTATATATATATATATATATATATATATATATATATATATATATATATTTCGTTAAAATCAAATCTGGATCTTTAATATTCAAATGATAGAGAAAAATAAAGCGCCAATATCAAAGAGGTATCTGAATTACTCAGTCTCTCATCATAAGTTGTTCAAGCATGACACTACCAATATATAGATTCTTCCTCGTATTGCATTCCTCAGGTACATTATGATGTTTGTATAAGATCAAATCGGGCTTGCCCTTTTTACTATGACTATTCGAGACCGGGGCGTGACAGGCCAATGTTCAACCCCATGTCGTACGGGATCGTGACATGAAGTTAGACGCCAAGCTCGTGACTTAGGGACCGATCGAGACCAAGATCGACCAAGATCGAGACCGAGCGGGAAAGAGATCATGCAAGATCGAGGGAAGCATATCGAAATAAATATCAGAAAGCCAAGATATCAGCGATCAGGCAAGAATTACGGCAAAAATCTTGGCACGTATCAAGGAGAGGCCGATTTATCAGTTAATCATGGGATTTCTTATCGTATTCGGGATTGCACTAGGAGTAGGTCTCCCTTACTCTATAAAGGGGAGCTGATCATTTGTATTCATCATCATATTCATGTTACATAAAGCAATATATTCTCTGTTAAGCTCTCAATATTCTTGTTAATGTGTTCATACTTTCTGGCGAAATATTCATTTAATTCGAGGGCATTCTAGCTCAAGGATTAAAGCTATACTTTTTATTTGGTTTGCTTCATTCATATTCGCAATTAATTTTATCGTCTATTTACGTTTTCTCTCAATTTCTGCTAAGTAAATCACGTGTCTTAAAACTACAGTATAAATTCAATTGTTATCCGTTTTTAGGGTAAACAGTTTGGCGCCCACCGTGGGGCTAAGGATAATGGTGATTGCCTAGTACAATTTTTTGTAACACACACTATTTTACGCTTGTTCTTTGAAGTGTCTTTGATTACAGAATTAATAATTGTCAAACTCTCAGTCAGCACCTCAACACATTAACAATTATCTCAGCCACCACGACAATAATGAGAACATTGCACCAGAAAACATTGTACCCCTAGTTGGACTCGATGGAGTTACGGCTGTAGATCCGATCGACGTCAGTTCACATGTAGCCATCAATGGAAATCTGGCCGTTGATCCAGAAAGCAGCGTTCGTGGGGGTACCCGATCAGCTACTCAGAATGCACATGGCGGTGATGATGGCGGTATCAGCCAGCGGGTAATCTTCGAAATGTTGCAGGCCCAACAGGCAGCAATAGCACAGCTCCAAAATCGGAACCAAACGCCAAGCAGGGTCGAACTCGAGCCATCCCAAGAAGTTCTACACAGGGTCAAATCGTCTTGGAGAAGATCAAACGAGAAGGAATCAGAGACCAATCCTGCTAATATAAAGATGCTCGAAGAGTTGACAAAGCGAATCGAGACCAGGGAAAAAAAGATCGAGGAAAACGATAAGAAGGTGGAAACTTATAACTCCAAGGTCAACCAAATCCCGGGGGCACCTTCAATATTGAAAGATCTATGTTCTAAAAAGTTTGTACAAAAACCTTCCCCCCCCCCCCCCCAAGTGAAGCTCCGAAGCCAATCCCCAAGAAGTTCTGTATGCCCGAGATTTCTAAATATAATGGGACTATTGATCCAAACGAATACGTCGCCTCCTACACGTGTGCTATCAAAGGAAATGACTTGGAAGATGACGAGATCGAATCCGTCTTGTTAAAAAATTCGGGGAGACTCTATCGAAGGGTGCTATGATATGGTATCATAATTTACCACCTAATTCTATAGACTCGTTTTGTATGCTTGCAGATTCCTCTGTAAAGGATCACACCAGAGCCATTAAGGTCGCAACAAGAAATTCGTACCTTTTCAAGGTAAGGCAAAAGGACAACGAGATGCTTAGGGAATTCGTATCTCGATTCCAAACGGAGCAAATGAATTTGCCACCGGTCACCGATGATTGGGCCGTTCAAGCTTTCACTCAAGGTCTTAACGTTGAAGCAGAATTTGATCAAATACCCAGCCGTCACCTGGTCCGATGTACACAATCGGTATCAATCAAAGATTAGGGTCGAGGATGATCAATTGGGGGCTCCCTCTGGGTCTGTTTATCCTAACAGGACCGTGGATAGAATCAAGAGAGATATCGGCCGAGAACCGAGGCCAAAAAGAGATCGTTGTCAACCGTATAATGGGTGTCGCGCCCCCTTTTTTCCTCCTCGCGGAGAACGTCCGGGTTTCGACATTTCATGAGGGAATCGACTCGTTTCCTTTTGGGAATTGGGTTTTTGAAGAGTCGCCACCTAACGAATTATGGTGCGTTAGGGCACCTTGAGCAATTAACTCATGGACTAGTTTGCATTACCAGAGATTTAGGGTAAGGGCTCGAAATAACCTAGAGGGGAAGGTGTTAGGCACCCTTCGCGGTCCACAACGGTGGTCCCGGCCGAACTTATACTATGTGAATTAGTCAGATAAACAGATAAACATTTTTACTACGTACTTGCAAGTAAGACACGTTTTGACATTCAAGTAATGAAACAAGGAAAAGGGTTTGAACAAATTGCACATATATAAAGAAAAGTAAATTCATTTAAACAATGGGAGTTGGGAAAGGGGGTCCTAGGTTGGTTAGCCTATAGGATCATACCCACATAATGCCCGGTAATGACTCCTCAATGAGGGGCTACACGTGACATTAGCGCGTAGTCATCATATCCTTACTACCTAATTCCCTCCCCTTGGTCATACCCTAAAGCGTTCTAGGAGCCTTGAAAGATATCCTATGTGTGCATTAACCGTCCCTTCTTTGTGGCCCTGGAGGTATTTAGGACCTCTAATTTTGGGTAGTTTTAGACCATCCTAAGGTGTTTAAAGGAGAAAAGTCTAGGCGTCAAACAAAACAAGTAGGACTGTATTTCAAAAAAAAAAGGAGAAACAGCTAAGGGCTCACATTTACCTCCACAAACATAACAAGCAAATGCACGTCTCAAAAAACTATTTCAAGTGTTTAAGAAAAAACCTTAGAACATGATATCTAGGTGAACTGAGAGTATACAGTATTGAATTAGGACCAAAGTGTGAAGGAACTGAGTCCATTTGCCTACTGATGTTAAACTTGCTGAGTGTGAGCAATCACAGATAGCAGAACATGGTTTTACGGTTGCAGAATTTTAATTGTCCTATAGGCTTGCCTAGGCGTATAACAGTGATGCCCTATGAGCATGATATCTATATTGATTAGGAATGCAGTAAAATAGTAAAATGATTTTTTTAGACAACTTGAGATCATATAGGCATGCTTTCTAGCAGTATTAATTTAAGGCAACGTTTGAAGACTTATTTAAAGTAGCGGATAGGTTAATTGAATTAAACCAATTCAGAATAAACAAACATGAATTAAACTGATTTATTTAACTAAACTGGTTTTAAGTTCTATAGGCGTGATTTCTATTAGAGCTGATTTAATTCCTATAGGCATGGTATCTAATTATTAAAAGCCATTTAGATCCTATAGACATGGTTTCTAATTGTGTGGAAGCAAAGCAAACATAACAAACACATTTAAATCAACCCGGATCCCATAGGCATGGTATCTACCCAATTTTACCCGCAATGCATATACTACCCTCCCTTTTTACTAAACACCCAATTGTTTGTTTACAATAATTATTACAGACTAATGAATTGAATGAAAAATTACATAAATAAACAGAAATTAATCTATAGGGAGCCTGCAACATGCCCAAATGATTTCCAAGCCTCTATTAGTCTCAAATGCCAAGGTTCCGTAGCCAATTTCATGTCCAGGTGTGTCAAAGTTCCCAAAGGACCTCAAGGATCTCAGGCAGTGCTCACACCCAGACTTTCTCAAATAGTAACTAATTATTGTGCAGTGTGGAAAGGCCAGCTCTGACATACCAGAGTTCAGAGAGATCTCAAGGCAGTACACATATCAGAGGGGCAGAACCTAGTAATCTAAGAGTAAAGTAAGAGTGCTTGCCATAGTTTTGAAAAGGTTTTGAAAATAGTATAGAGATGACTTTAAGAGTGAAAAAGGTTTTCAGAAACAGGCAATAGTTTGGTAGTAAAAGATAGTTTGAGAAGAGCACCAAAACTCTTTTGAAAACAGCGGATAATCAATAAAACATTCAGATTCAGAAACACTCAACAAACAGATCTCACATGGGGATATAGAGGTTGGGGCACAT